TTCTGCCAGAATAATTAAACCGATGTGTCTCCTTATTCTTTCTCAATGTAACTTACTCACTTTTGAAAATAATTTAAATATGTGTGGAGAATGGATCCTTTACACATTGAAAAGTTTTTGGAAGACAGAAAAATGTTGGCTCTCAAATGTTGGTCAATTTCTCTCCCTGGGAAATTGACAAAATTTGTGATAACATTTATAAACGTATTTTGTAAAAGTTACAAGGAGTGTTCCTATGATCTTGCCTTTAAGTTCATATTTGTCTAGCTCTTCTTATTAAATCCCTTTTCAGATGCTTCCTTCTATATTTGACAAATTTTCCTGTGAGCACTTCAGACACATTTGATTGTAAGGCAAATAGTTTGCATTCCATGAGGACTAGGGTATTATCAGTGATCGATACAGATTCTTTCTTACAGCACATGGTTCCAGAATTATTTACTTTTACATAAGAGTTCTAGAATGGAAACCCAATATTAAATATGTAATACAGTGACCAAGTGAAGCTCACCTTATTTTTCAGCTTTCATTTTTGACATTTCCCAAAAAGACAGGGTCTGAGATCCATAGGACAAATTAGTTTACTTTGTTTTAGTTTCTAGTTGCATCTAATTAAATCTGTTCATTACTGCTAAACTATTCTTTTATAATTGATCTATATTTTGTCACCTTCAAAGGAAGAAAATGAAAAGATGTGTGCAGGGCTTGCATATAAACGTAAGCTATATTTTAAATTTAGCTGTATGACCAAGAATGAATGCAGTGCAAGCATCCACCCTTCAATTTTCTTCTCTGAAAGAAAAAAAATGCAGCCAATAATAGCAATAAAGCAGGAATAAGTATAATTATGTTTATATTCATAATAGTGGTAGGTAATAGTGGGTGTGTTCCATACTAATTATGTTCCGCCCCTCTCAGAATAGACACACTGTATGATGGTTTAGCATAATGTGTAAACCAGATATTGTGGCTTAAAATTAGTTGTAGATAGTTTCTAAATAATTCTACTTCATGCTAGCATTGTTTTAGTGGTTTAGCAAAGCTAGTTTTATTTTAAACTGTAGCTTCTGACTGCTTTTAAAAAAACTATATTTCAGTGAAGCTTTTATTGCTCTCTATATACATATAGAGAAGAAAAGCTATTTTGAAATTCTGGCACTCTGCATTGGATCACTCAATTGAGCACATAACCATATATTATAGTTGATCATTAAGTGTGATTGCAGCTATTAGCATTCATCTTTAAAGTTTAAGGTTGTTACATTATGGCTAGAAACATTCTGGTAGTAAAACTTACATGTTGAGCAGATAAATAATGAATAAATTATTATAAATTATCAAGACAGTAAATATGCCAATTTATGAAAAATGCTGCAAGATCTAATACAGCGTCTTGGTCTGTTTCAATGGAACAGGCACATTTGTTACTTGAAATTTATGATTACAAAATCAAAAACAAATATATTTTTACACATAAAATTCTATCATAACTCCCCAATTATTATTATGGGTAATTTTGCTTTAGGATTAGATTACCTGTAGTCATCAGAACACTTCCAAAAGTTGATACTGAAAAGTAATTCTGAATGAATTAGAAAGATATTGTTTTAATATGTGGGGAGGATTAAATACATTTAGATTTTGTCCTGGCACGTTTCTTTATCCTTATTCTTTATCCTTTTTCATGTATAATCCTGTGCATTCTACTCAGAAACTAAATCTGTCCTGGACTGTATAAAATTGCAGACCCTGTTTTAACTGGACTTTATTGTAATCACAAAAACAATTGATGCAAAATAATGATTTATTTTTTTTCAGTTGATATCAACTGAATTTTAAATATTTATCCTACATGTTCTACAAAATGCACTTGAATATTCATTTATTCAGTGTTTAAATGTTCACAAAGAGGGAATAATGTGTTTAAAGACTGGCATTTGTGTGGCAGAATTTTTGTGAAGAGCCTAGCAATTGAAGTTTGAGAAAAACTTGCTATTTTCTACCTATATAAATTTTTGCATTAGACCTCCCTATTTCGGCAATATTTGAATGCCTTTGTTGACATAGTCTTGTGCATCTTTACCAACTTAACTATCACCTATTTTTAAAAAGTGACTGCTGTTTCTCCCTTTGACCAGAGTAAAGAACCTTTTAACCATCCTAGACTTGGTCCTGAGTTTACAAACTTAGTTAATCAGTACCTATAATTTGAGGTTGTTTATTTACATACATACATACATACATACATACATACATACATTTATATGCCACTTATCTCATGGTCAAGCAACTCTATTCAGTTTTATCTAATTATATGAAAACATGTACCCAAAATCCATTATAGAGGAGAGTTTGTATATAAAATGTAAATGCATATGTAAAATTAGATGAAACAATATTGTATCCAGATTTAACATATATTTTAGTGTAAAAAGTATACCGTATTTGTTTAGTACACTATATGTAGAATTTAAGTAATCCTGACTAAGTCTGAATGATTTTCATGAATTTATTCTTTTTTTTAAAAAAATGGATCAAGCTCCCCTTTTTCCCCAGGGATAGCATCTCTATTCACTTTTTGTTGTAAAATACCCTGGTAGATAGCTGTGGAGTGGAATGATGACATTCTTATTATTTAATTGAATTTTTTGCATGCAACATTAAGTTCCATGTTTTGTATGCAGAAGCATTCATTTCCATCTACAGGAGAAAATTTGAATGGCATCCTTATTGGTTACAATAACAAAAGCAATCTGCATTTATGCAATAGTTTCTCTAAGAGCTTATCTATTTTACATACAAATTTCTTCTTATCAAGATATTCTTGTAAAGTATCTGGCTGTCTCAGATAAATACTCTTTTGTCAGATAAATTATTTCACACTAAGGGTATGAAATCAGGTTTCCCATACATTTTACCCTCTAAGATAAAGACCTACCACAAGCCTCCTATCCTTCTGCAAGAGCCTAAAGTTCTGCTGGTTGGCTTAGGGACCAAATGGGGGAGGTCCATGCTACAAGTGACTGTTGGATTGATGGCAGACACCCCCCCCCTCACTTTGCTTTGCTCTTCACCTGTTCATATTTTTGGATATTGTATTGATGTATTCTCATTGTATACAGTTTACATGTCTTTCATTTTCTTCCTTTTTATTATTGTAAGCCACTTAGGGTAGCCCCACGGCAACATAACTGGCAAATAAACTAAACAAACAAACAAATATTGTTTCATAGGTTTACTAAACAATTCAAAAGTCATGCTAGATTTTACCTAAGTGCTTCATTCTAAAAATCAGAGCTTGCATCTCTGTGTTGCATGTGAAGATCTTACACATTTTCCTTTTAAATATATCCTTATGGAATATTTTTACAAAATAATTTATGGGATTATTTATATTTTGTTTTCCTTTTGTTGTTTCCAATATTGCTCTTGGGGTTATTTTTTCCTTGGCCTACTCCATAAAATGAAAGAACAAAAGAATATTTATTTATTTATTTATTTATTCATTCATTCATTCATTCATTCATTCATTCATTCATTCATTTAATCACATTTATGTAGCTGCCCATCTCATAAGAAGTGAGTCTGGGCAATGTGGAGCAAAAAATATATTAAAAAATAAACATGTCAAACACATATTTTTAAAAATGTTTTTTAAAAACACATAGATTTGAACAGCTAAATATTTGCATATATTTGAAAGTATGTGAACCTTTGCTTTCATTAACTTTCATGATGTAATTAAATGTTTCTGGTATCTGTTGATCACTTGTACACACCAGCTTGGGGGAATTTTAACCCATTCCTCTTTAAAAATCAAACATCAACTGAGGGAGGTTGGTGAGCTTCCTTGAATTACCCCACTTCTCCTTTCACAACATTTCTTAAAATTTATATCAGGATTTTGACTTGGCTGTTTTAAAACATTTTCTTCTGTTTTAACTGTACTTTGGTCATAGGGCTTGTGTTTTTTGAGTTGTGGCCTACTTTCTCTTTAGCTTCAATTTACAAGCAGATACTCTAAAAAATTACTGTACAATTTGCTAGCAAAATTCAAAATACATAGTTCCATTAATGATGGCAAGCTATCCTGGTCCAGAGATAGTAAAGCAAGTCACCATCACCACATTACACAGCTGGAATTGGAATAAGGTTCTTTTACTGGAATGGCTTTCCCCAAACATAACGTATTTTTTGTTTATTCAAGATCAAAAGTGCTATTTTAGTCTCAGCCATCCACTCTTCCAATAACCTTTTGGCTTATTCATGTGATCTTTCTCAAAGTGTAGATAGGCAATAAAGTTCATTTTTTGGAGAGTACTGCCTTTCTTCTTGCCACCTTAAAAATATGATCTGCATGTAATTTTAAACTCTTAATTGGTCCTTATGTACTCATTGCTATACTGTACTTATTCTTTACAATACAAACTTGCTTATGCTCTACAGTTGTAATCAGATACTCGCATATATAACCCCACCATCTTGTTATCATGAAACACACGCACATTGCAGCCTGTTGAACACAAAGTTGAGAGAGTAAAATAATATGTATTCTTAGGAGGAGTAAGCTATTTAAAACATTTGAACACAACACTGAATTGCAGAGCTATACTCAAACTCTTAGTAACCTCAATCCTTTAAAGAAAAATAAACATACATCCTTATACTGTACAAAGATGAGTGTTTATCACCTTTGTGGGGTGGGGTGCAGAATGGCATTGGTAATCCTCCCCTGTAGCAGGTAAAGGTAACTTCCTTTTAACCAACTATATTTTCATAAGATTCTAAGTGGTTATTCAGATGTGAATAATCAAGTCTTTATAGAAGTGGAAAGCAGATACTAGTATTTCTTTAAATGCAGTGTTACAGGGGATCCTACTTATATAAAATACCATCCACTGCCAAAAGGAATCTGAGATATGTTTAACTGAATTCCATTTTATGTAGTGAAGTCTGTACTATATAGTGTTATTTAACATTACTGTTTTTCTTTCTTGTAGTTCAAAAACACAACGATTACCAAGTATTCTTCTATTTGTGGATTGTCTTCTACTTCATTAGTTCCTGTTATACTCTTATCTGGGACTTGAAGATGGATTGGGGTCTTTTTGACAAGAACGCCGGTGAAAATACTTTCCTCCGGGAAGAGATTGTATACCCACAAAAAGTGTGTACATGGACAGTGTTTATTTGGAAATGCTTATCAGTATGCATGCTGAAGAGGGCTTCTTCTATTAATTTCTGTTTAAACTGAGCATTATCTTGATTGTAGATAGATACTATCTTTAAAAATGTGTTTTGAAAGAGAGAACTGATTAAGCTGAAACATAGTTGAAGGATCAAAAATAAGTAGGTATTCACATGGAGAATTAGTTCAGAAAGAGCAAAAATATTTCTTTCAATTTTTCTTCCATCACCTTAGCAGCTAATTATTTTCTCTTTCATTTTCTCTGTTTCTGTTTCTCAAGCATCCATACATTTTCCCTGGTCTCATCTCCCATCCCCACATCTTACTGGTATAAAGCAATAACCAAGTGCTCTAGAGATAGCAATAGCACTTAAACTTATATACCGCTTTACAGTGCTTTACAGCCCTCTCTAAGTGGTTTACAGAGTCAGCATATGGCTCCCAACAATCTGGGTCTCATTCTACCAACCTCAGAATGATGGAAGGCTGAGTCAACCATAAGCCTGGTGACATTTGAACTGCCAAATTGCAGGCAACCAGCAGTCAACAAAAGTAACCTGCAGTACTGCATTCTAACCACTGCGCTACCACAGATGACCCTAGGTTTGTTTGAACTGATGGGAGCATGTCTGGAATTTAATAATAGGTTAAGTTGTAGTTTGGCCAAAAAGAAAAAGAAAAAAAATGATGTATACTATGCAGAAGTTCTTATGTGCAAGAGACAGCAAGTCTTTCAAGGCATCAAGATGTTTATGTCAGGCACCAACATAACATGAAAGTATGCTATATTTCTTGCAGTTATATTACTGTCTAGCAGAAGAACACACAATAGAACCAAAAACCGAAAATTATTGTTGTCTTTGGTTAATAGATTTTTATTGTGAGTACTGTAGTAATAGATTGTAAAGTACAAGTGAAGTATGGTATGTTATGGTTTGAAAGATCTATAGTTCCTTGACAACAGAATATAGATAGTCCTTGACTTACAGCCATTCATTTAGTGACAATTTGAAGTTACAACAGTATTTTAAAAAGTAACTTATGATTGTTTTTCACATTTACGGCCACTGCAGCATCCCCACAGTCATGAGATCAAAATTTGGACACTTGGCAACTGACTCATACTTATGATGGTTCCATTGACCTCGGGTCATATGGTTACCTTTTGCAACCTTTTGACAAGCAAAGTCAGTGGGAAAGCCAAATTCACTTATTACTAGCTTAACAACTGCAGTGATTCACATAACAGCTATGGCAAGAAAGGTCATAAAATGGGGCAAAACTCACTTAACCATTATCTTGCTGAGCAATGGAAATTTGGGGCTTAGTTGTGGTTGTAAGTCAAAGACTACCTATGTTTAGAAAACAATATAAAATTCATTTACTATCAGAAATGAAACTGTTGCTGCCCTTTTAGATATGTAATATTTGTCCTTCAACAAGTTGATAGCTAGAAATTTAGCTCACCTCCGATGATACTGTACTTATAACCATAAAAATGATTGCAAAGGTAGAGTCTGCAAATGAAGAACTGGATATCTCTATTTATATATATTTATTTGGAGGTTGATTTGGTGGATATTATTCCTTGATACTACAACTGCCTATTTTATCTGTTTAACAGGCCTATTACTACTGTGCCATTGTAGAAGATGTGATTCTACGTTTTGCATGGACTATCCAGATTTCTCTGACTACCATGGAAATTCACCCTTTTGCTGCTGACATCATTGCTACTGTATTTGCACCACTAGAGGTTTTCCGGTAAGATGCACTGCACTAACAGCATAGTTACTGAGCTTTGGAGGGCCTATTTGTAAATAATTATGAGTGCATTTATCTTCTGTAATTAAAAATATTTTATTCTCTCTCTACAGCTCTAAATCAGCCCACTCAAATGAACAATACTTGCACCGTTTAAAAAAAGTATTATGTAGCATTTAAAAATGCAGACAGAAACCACAAATCAAAAGAGACCTTGGATATGGTCTCTAACATTCAGGATTTGAAACATCTACATTTATAACTATTAGAAATATCCCAGAAGCTAATTAATACAATTTCATATTATTTTTAAGAGGGATTATAAAATATCTATGAAAGCGTGATTTACATTTTATCACAGTTTGAGCATTTGGGTTTATCTGTTGGGAATCAAACCTAGATTTAATGTTTGAGTAAGGGGACTAGGCTTCGGTATCCAAGTTTAGCATATGCTCGCATCAACTCATTAAACTGAAATTTTGATCTTTTTTCCCCTCCAGTATTTGACTTGTTATGATAATATTAATTTACTTTTTGGTAGTCATATCAATGTATTTCTTGGATTTTTTTCCTTATTTATTTTATTCTATTATTTTACTTTCACTTTGTTTACACTTCCTTTTTATTTCTTTGTGAGCTGCCTAGTGTAGCCCCATGGTGAGCTAGATGGCAAATAAATTTAATAATAATAATAATTTTGAAAAAGGCTGTCAATCAATTTACATGTATTGATTAGTCAATTGGAAAATTAATGCTAATGCTCCGGCTTTAGTTTTCTTCTTTGTCATTCCTTTGGGGAAAAGTGGAAAATTGATTTTTCTTATAAAATATAGTATATTTATGCATATGTCAATATCTTCAAATCTTGTAGTTGCTTATTATCTTCCACTTTTCAGGCGGTTTGTGTGGAATTTCTTCCGATTAGAGAATGAACATCTGAATAACTGTGGTGAGTTCCGAGCTGTCCGCGATATTTCAGTGGCACCTCTGAATGCAGACGATCAGACCCTGCTTGAACAGATGATGGACCAGGAGGATGGTGTCCGAAACCGCCAGAAAAACAGAGCTTGGAAGTGTAGCCAGAGTGTGTCCTTGCCCAGACCACGTCTTGCTTCACAGTACGTGTTACACAATAGCCCAATGAGTTTCTTATTTGATTAGAAGACCTTTTTCTCCATGTGTTTTCCTTCAATATTCTTGGGACTGCAATTTGCAGAATTCACAGCTGAAATGACCAAAAAGAGTGCTGAAATTTCTGAAGGGCATACAATTGGAACAGGCCAAATTAGATTTAATAAATAAATCTAATAAGGGAGAAGTAAAAGAAAGCTGGCCATTTTTTTCTATTGATTTCCACCCCAAAAGAAGCCAGTTTACATTGCTTTCTGATACCCAACTTTCCTAACGTTACGAATTCTTAATGCATTTTAATTAATATATGTAATATTTAATTAAATTAATGCATACGCTCTTCATGTAGCCAGAAGTTAGTGGAAATAAAACTGATAAACTGGATTTTCTCTCATGTATGCATCCCCTTACCCAGAGGGTTGTTGGCAAGCATTAGATGTTGGTGTTTCAGAGAGTCCTAAATCTTTTTCTCTAAATCTTGTGTAGTGCCTATCAATCTTTCATCTCCTCACAAGATGCTATTCTTTTGTTGGGATGGATCATTCTCACCCTCTGTGCAGTATTTGCCAGGAGAAAGTCAGCATTTGGGAAGATGGGGAAAATTAACCTTGAGAATGCAGTATGTCAAGGTGCTATCTGTTCTTTGAAGTAGTTGTGTCCTAGATTACCGACTCAGAAGGCCCCATTTTTCTTGGAGCCCTACAAGTTCCAGGAAATTGAGAATTTTTGGTAGATTGAACTTTGTTCATGGGCAGCTTTTTTCATTCAGGGCAGAAGGCATTCTTTCAAGGAGAAGAAATCTGTGGTTGGTATAAAGATACTTAGAATTACATTAAGATACTATGTAGAGTTGACATTATATTAGTTACTGCTAATTCACTGCCTATTGGCAAGAGCAGAATGTACCTAGCTTTCTTAACTGTGGGAAGGCTAGAATTTATGATAAGGATGTGACATAGTTCTTGTATTCTTATATTCTTGTGATCATTGAGTATCTAATCAAATTCAATTATTAAGATGTCTAACACAAAGAGATTAATATAATTTATCAAATTATATGCAGTATTTATCCATATTTTGTCCAAACCCAATTCTAGTTTAATTCTATTGCCCTGCTCAGTTGCACACAGATTTTCTACATATACATATGGCACTTATACTGTATATAGCATGGAATTAAGATTATTTTAATATTTCTAAGTATATTGAGCTGAAGCCTGTACTCCAAATCTGCATAATTTTGCATGCATAACAATTGGTGTGATTCACTACTAATAAGTAATGAATCTAGCTACAGTAATACCCAGGGGAAGTATTAAACAGTTGCTGTGATTCCAGTTCCCTCAGGGCTATAACTCTTATAACAAAGCACCTTCACTGGTTTCTTGCATAAGTCTTTTGGTTGAGATCATAACCTATTGCATAGATTCAATGTGTAACTCGGTCTTCTGACAATCTATTGAAGCTACCATCTTCCATTGTTCCTACTGCCATCACTGGGCATACTGACTAAATATCAAGCCAGCTAAAAGATATTCCCCAAATGATTTTTAGTCATGTCCTCCAATAGCTTGCTGTCTTGTGGATGAAAGCATATTATTTGGTTTTAGTTATAGGATTGTTATCATTTATACACAAATACCAATTGGATGTACTGTCAGATTTATAAAAGGTAGGGACAGCTCCTCCTCTAAATGAATGTGTATTTCATTTTAGGCAAGCTGTACCCGTGTCATGTTCATCATTGAGTTTTCCCTTCTTCCCCCATTTAGTACTGGATTATCATACCTCCTTTTTATCTGTAGGGACCTTGACCTGTCCCCATATTGATCCATTTTTATTTGGTGTTTTTGTTGCTTTTCTCTTTATGGTGATGTTAAAATTTACATACATACATACATACATACATACATACATACATACATACATACATACTTTCTATTAAAGATTTTCACATAAGTAAAAAGTAAACATAAAATTATATGGAGTGAAAATAAACAATAGAAATAAAAGAATAAGTAAAAATAGTGCAAATAGAAAGAAAATATGGTGATGCTAAAAAATTTAAATTATTTTGTAGCAGAAACAGCTCTTACAAGTATATTTTTCAATAGCGCCAGTATCAACACAACATGATTTGGGGGGGAAATTTTAAAGGATTACATCATATTTTTGTTGCATTTAAGTTGCAATTCTTAATCATTTCTTCCTCCCCGTTCTCTCAGAGAAGTTGTATACAACATAATTTCACCTTGAGAGTAATTGAATGGCCATGTGTTAGGTCCAGATGATTTCGTGTTATGACCTTGTATTCCTACAGCCGTAAATTGATTTCTGCATTTCAGTAAAGATCAAATGCATTCATCTTTTAAAACCCATCCAGGAATAATTTGAAATCACCTCAATAAAAAAATCTTTTTATTCTCATACATCAAAGGCAGTTTACAGTATTAAATTTAATATAATTTTTGTCATAGCCATGGTAATTTGGGAGCCACATAATATCTCTCAGTTTGCTTGAATTACAGCAGCTGGGTAAGAGAATGCATAATAGTTTTCCTATTATGCATTTCATTCACAACAACATTATCCTGTTAGAAAATATGGAAGTTGCCACTCTTTTTAATCATGTGTGCTTAGGCAAGGAAGATAATGCAATCATTCTTTGTGAAACTGTGACATACAGGCATGAAGAATTTTGCCATCCTTCCTTATTATCTGTTTTCCCTTCTCAGACTCCATTAGTGCTACATTTGCTGCCGTCCTGTCCAAATCTTTTTAGAATAATGCTTGTTATTCTATCCTCTACCCTCTGGAGATTTAGCTTTTGATACCCCTTCTTGTAGTGTAATTTTATCACATATTTCTCAAAGAGATGTTTAAATTCATTTATTTTGTTATTAGCTTTTAATTGGTTATTGATTGAAATAATTATTTGAGAAAATAATGAACAACTTTTGGCTTTAAATTCCAGCCAGTATCCAACTTTCCCTGTCCTCAAATTATAAATTATCTTAACCTCCCAATCTAGCATAGCTTAATTTATGAAATGTAACGGAATACAGAGCACTTGCCATATAATTATGCTGCAGCAAATCATCTTGTCTAACTTGTTTAAAGCTCATCTGAAATTCAAAATTCAAAATGTATAAAAAAAATTGATTTTTTTCTTGCTCTTTAGTTTGCTGTGATTTATTGCTCAAATTTTTCATCTTCCTGTTCTATTATCTTTTAATGTTGGTTTTAGTTCTAGTGGTTGGCTATGTTTTATTTTTAAGTTGTGCTTGACTTAGGATCATTCATTTAGCAACCAAAGTTACGACAAAACTGAAAAAACTAATTTACAATGATCACAGCAGCCCCACGATCACGTGATTGCAATTCTGGTATTGGCAACCAGCATATAATTACAACAGTTGCAGCATCCCAGGATCCCGTGATTGCTAATTGTGACCTTCCCACTCAAGTTTCCAACAAGCAAAGTCAATAGACGATGCACTTAACCGCTCTATGATTTGCTTAATGACTGTGGCTGAAAAGGTCATAAATTCAGATGTGGTTATGTGATGACTCACTTAACAATTGCATATTAAGCAATGGAAGTTCCGGTCAGAATTGTCAAAAATCCAGAACTACTTATATTGTTTGATTATTTTTAACTCTATACCCATGCCCTTGTGACCTCTCACTTAGATTACTGCAACCACTCTACATTGGGCTGCCATTGAAAAGCATTCAGAAACTTCAGTTGGTGCAAAATTGAGCTGCATGGCTAATAAATGGTGCTGGCTACACTACAATGTAACAACACTGCTCTGTGAGCTGTACCGGCTGCTAGTATGTTTCTGGGTCCAATTCAAGGTGCTGGTTGTCACCTTTATGTCACCTTGGGACCAGGTTACTTGAGAGGGATCAAATTTTCCCAAGAGTTTCCCATTCAAATTGATCCAATTGATTGGGTCTGCTGCAGATCTCATCAGCCAAAGAGTGTTGACTGGCAAGAACTAAAAGATAAGCTTTCTCTCCCTGCCTTATGAAATATTCTCCCCTCAGAGATTGGAATGGCCCCAACCCCATTGGCCTTTTCCAAAGCTTTAAAAACTTGGCTGTGTATCTGGGCCTGAGCTTGGTATATTTAAGAGCTCTGTTACTTGACTCGCCCTCTTCTACTTCTAGAACTTTTTTATTTCCATCAAAACATTGTTCATGTTCTCTGTCACTTTTAATTTTTATTCTTTGAAATTCTTCTTATTTACTGATTTTATATGTTTGTCTCTGGGTTTGGGTATTCTCATTTTTCACAGCAATCATTTTATATAAATTTTCTCATACTCCTACACTTTATTATTTCAACAAGCTTACTTTTTTGTACTCCCTTATTTGCCTTCATGTTTATATAGCAATTTGTAACAATTGTTTTTACTCTCTTCCACGAAGGTTCCCCATCCTCTTTAATTCCTTCTATTAATACATTTTTAATTATTTTTTCATAAAGAACTTGTATCTTCCTGAAGTCATTCTCGTTTCAGGCATTTCACTTTTTTCCTGTTCTTCCTTGTCCATCCCCCCCCCCCCCCCCCCCCCCCCCTTTTTTGATAGTTTTAAAAAATGGTCTGTCTCACATTCAAAACTTTTCATCTTGTACCCTTCACTAATTGTTTCCTGTCAATCTTTCATCATAAACAGTCTTGGTTTTATATTTATATTCATGCCATTGCTATAAAACATTAATAACAGACTTCTTTCTTAGTAGCTATTCTCAAATCACCATTCTCATTCTTTCTTGGGTCTCTAAAGGCTTATAACTTTTTCAGTTCTCTTGCACTTTGTTCAAGCTCATGTGTTCATAACATGTAACAGATTTTTTTCTCCTTCTAGCAGTTTTTTCCTCCTTCGAGTAGTTTTTTTCCTATTGGCCTTTTCCAAAGCTTTAAAAACTTGGCTGTGTATCTGGGCCTGAGCTTGGTGTACTCAAGTAATTTTTTTCCTTTCCAGATTAGAATGAACCTGAACCTACTGCTTTTGTATACAAACTTAGAATCTAATCAGATTCTAGAATGTAAAGATTACTTTGCAGGACAACATTCTATTTAATTCATATCACAACTAGAAGACATGTTCATTGTGCTAGCAAATGCTCATATGAGCTTGAATATTGAGGATGATGATTGAGGGAGGGAGTTTTGAGGCTACATTTAAAATCCCCTTCATTTCCTGATTTTGGATCCCAATTAACACATAGATTTAAATGCTCTCACGTGAACACAACAAAAGCAAAATGCCATTTTATTTTCTCAAATTTGCATATGTGTGTGTGTGTGTGTGTGTGTGTGTGTGTGTATCATCATGAAGAATATATATATGCATATACATATACATGCATGTATGTATGTATGTATGTATATTCATTCATTCTTCATGATAATAGGGAAAGATGAACTTTAGGAGCCTGCCATTTTGATTCTATCTAGCACAGGGGTCCCCAACCTTTGGGCCACGGCCCACTACCAGACTGTGACTTATTTTCAACTGGGCCGGCATACACACATGCAGAGCTCAACTCATGCAAGCCTCCTTTGACTTGAATTGCTTACAGAATAAAGATATTAATGGCAAGGAGCTTGCAACAGGAGCAAAAAATATTCTGATCATAGAGCATCACTGCTTATTCTGTGCCAACAATGATTACAATGAATGCCCATTTCAGTAGAAATGCTTTTTCTTCTAAGTTCCTTTCATACTAGCAAGTACTCAGCAGAGGGAGCTGTTGATATATAATATTTATTTAGTTCAATGAACATTAATATGTCTAACCAACGTTCTTCTGCCTAGATTGTGTTTTAAATGCATAGAAAGCTATTTCCCCAGATGTTTGGGTCAGGGGGTAAGATGAACTCTGCTAATAATAATAGTCAATGGGGTTAATCGTTTATGTTGCTAGGATAAATAAATAATTAAAATTAAATTGTTCTAAAATACTTAAAAGGGTTTAATGGAAATACTAGGGCATATTGTACAAATTGCACAACAGTACTTAGCTGTGGTCAAAGAAACAAAATTAGATTAATCCTTTTTAGATATTTTAGAGCAATTATATTTTTCCTCTTTTGTCCTAATTGTGACTTTTGTGTCTTAACTGTTGATCTATGACCAAATAAAGATTGATTAATTGATAGATTGACAAATTGTTAATGAAAGTTTAATTTCCTGTTTTCTCAGGTCAAAGATTCATGACACCAAAGTATTAATAGAAGACACAGATGATGAAGCAAACACATGAAATGCCCACAGAGTCAAGTTCCACATCCCTCATGTTCTCTTGCTTTATTACCTTCCCAACCCCAACTGCCACCCAGTCTATCCTCTGGTACAGTTCCAGCTAAAAACAGGAGAAAAATCTGAACACATTTTTTGAGCTCTTCCGGACCGGTTCCTATGGACTCCAACAAGCTCACTGTGTTTTCTTTTCTTTTCTTCTGGTTTTAATTTGATTTCTTGTTTTTAAAATATAAATCTAACTTTGTTTTGCCAATCAGAGGGACATTTAAGGAAGGAGCTGTCTTAAAGATTGTTTACAATCTCTTCAAGGACATACAATCTGGATGAAGAAGCATCATTTGGACTCCCTAATGGGACTTTACTGAAAAATCATTCGGTCTCTGCTCAGTCCAGTTTTGACTGGTTGAAACTGGACCAGCGTTTTTAACTCTGGCTCGCGCTCTGATTTTTGGTGTTTTCTTTCATATCCAGCGCCAAGGCACTAGCTGCACTTGCCGGGAAAGTGCACTTAGAGCAGTACCTTCATTCACGAAGCTACTTTTTAATTTGGTGTAACTTTCTTTTTTTTTTTTTTTTTGAAATATGATGTATTTGTTGCACATAGTTTTCATATTATTTATGATAGTTAACCTTATGAGAATGGTTTTTGAGTCCTGTGCAATGAAGTTGGTAACTCTTTAAAAAAAGAAAAAAAAGGCAAGTGGTTGGGGAGAAGGGGATGTAGATCCTTGATCTCTCTTGCTGCAAGGTTAAGCCCTTTAAAATACCTCTTTGAGAGAACTTGCACCAGCTTAACCTGATTATTTTTCTCCTTATTATTGACTGATTGATTTTAAGCCAAAGTTGCTCTGTTGAATTTTACTTGCTGCTGCTGGTCCCGCAGAAATCTTGTCACCTTCCTTAGCTGGATCTTCTTTGTACATGTGCCTCCACAGAAATAATAACATGATCTCCAAATTTCTGTTGGAAAAAAGAATCTAGAGCTAGATGTAGTCCGTCCGATATCCATGCAAGAAAGCCTTAGTTTATACATTTAAGAATGGTTTTCATTTTAGTGAGCTGAGTCTCCCGGACATCATCCCATTTTTAAATAGGGAGTTCCTGTTTGGTTCATTCATTCCAGCTAAAAAATAGAGAAAAATAAAACTGATTGAGACAAAGGTCTGTCTTGTGGATATAGGATTACTCATTCAGCAGTATATACTGGGTTCAGGCAGACACTCAACAGCTTGTCATTTATGTCATCCAGAGGTTGCGTAGTCTCTATTGAGAAAGTTGGCATTGCTATAGAAAGGGCTCTTTAATTTTTTTCAATAAATAAAATATTTTGCCATACTTTGGCAAAAACTTGTCTGACAATCACTGTCCAAGAACATCCTCAGGTTAACTTTTGTTTCATTTTTTAAACCTACCTGCCCCAAGTCCTAGATTTCCAATGTGGTGCTAGGCTAAACTTTTACAAGCATTATGAGTAGCACTGCTAATTGGACTTATGGTAGATGGTCATACACTTTAGTAAATTCTTTAAAAAAAGTTATCGGTTGATTATTTCTTTTAATTCCATATTGGCCTCCAGCATCCATAGGATAGAGCAGCATGAATGCTTAAGATGACCACTCCCTCTCCTTGTAGTAGAAAGCCTGTGTTGTGTATGCCAAGCATTTGTACTTCATATTAGCAAATGAAAGCTTATTGTGCTCTGTTACACAATGTGTGCATTTGTGAGATCACCACCCTATGATGGGAGAAGCTATTTCAGATTTTCTTAAGTCTGATATTGATATAGGATTTCACAGCAAAGACTGTGTTGTTCTTGTTTAGGTTTTTAGATGGTGTTAGTTCCTTTCTCCTGTACAATCTCCTTTGGTTTGAAAGCATACTTTTAAGCATAGAGGATTCCTCTTTTATCCTTTTTTTCCTTAGTTAATAACCTTATCTATAATAATTTATTTCCTTATTTTATCTTTCAAGCCATTCACAAGACTTACTTTGTAAAGCAACTGTGACTTAAAAATAGTATGCATAATGTGCTGTAGCCATAAGGAACTAGAAAACAAATTTCTGGCAAAACAAATTAACTACAAAATCAGGACTCCTTGACAGGCAAGAGAGCTATAGAATGAAACTTTAAATCACAGTTATTTTTTATTGTGCTTTAACTTGGTAGAAAATTTAGGACATTGTGGTCGTAATGCAAGTAGATTTTGGAGTTGTACATTATTTGTGCTTCTGCAGTGTAGCAGTTATTGCTTGGTATTCTAGTACCAGGCTGTTCTAGTAGAAAAGTTGGATTTGGAGTCCCACTAAGCTGTTTTGTTACAAGATGAGTCTGCAATTCAATGAGAGGTGGTTTTTTTTACATATTACAATAATAGACTACTACCGAACTTTATGTGAATAATGGCAACTACTTATACATTCAGTTAAACAAATATGAGAGGTCATTCTACCTAAGGAATGTTAATCTGAATAAATCATGGGTCCCCTAAATTCTTCCTGCCAAAGACATATAACAGGGAAAGATTTATTTAGGATATACCGAAGGATACTGACATTTAAGGATGAAGCAGAAGGAGTAATTTGATGGTAGAAATTTAGAAATACCAGCAATTTGAAATAATTTGCCTATGAGATTAGGAAGATTATATATGCCACAATGAACAATTTTTTTCATACCACCATCATCTGACTGAAAAAGATCACTGCCTTGTGCATAACACAACATTTTACATGGAAGTATTAAGTGAAGTTCCAGATTTAAATTTATATTTAGAGTACTTGACTAACTTTCATAAATTGTATGTTGAGGTTTTTTTTTTTTTGAATCTGTAATGATTAGCCAAGTTAATTAACTAAGCCCCTCCCCCCCGGGTTCTGTCATCAAAAAGCCCTACATTGAATTGAATTGTATATTTGGAAGAAATGTGTGTCCTAAAGAATTCGTGCTTGGTAGCCTAACATAAGAAATTGATATCTGCCTCTTCCTAATGTAGAGGTTCATCTCCAGAGTTCACTCTATTTTCCTGTGGATAGTTAGTGCAGAATTGTTTATTAAAACCAGTCTATCTGAATTTCTTATGTAGAAAACTTTTAGAATAACTAAAATGGAATATTGGGATAGTTAGGATGCCATTTCAATTTTCCTGGAGTGTGGAGAAATGCCACGTGACTCTCAACAAATATTCAGATTTTTTTTTTCCTCAGAGAGTTAAAGTCCTGAAAGAAGGGTTGATGCTTTTGACTTTTGCACTCGGCCTTTTCCATGTCTGGCAAATAGATTTAATGTTGCGTTACATAATGGTTAGGTTTTCTTTGACCCAAATGACAGGGGGATAAGAGAAAGCTATATGAACCTCATGGGAATTAATGGCTTTCTTAAGCGGTTACCTGTTTTGGAAATGAAATGGAATTGACACTCTGCCAAGAAGACTGTAGAAGCATCTTTGTGAGGATATGCAGAAGCACTTTGCTACTTTTTGGTTTCCTCTTTCAAAGGAGAAGATAAATTTGTTATATTTGAATTAAAATAACTCCCCTGCTCTTTGTCCATTTTCTATAAAGGTTACAGAGTTGTGGAGAGTAGGAATCTTGCAATGATGGAGTCAGGCTTTATTCTGAGCATTAAAAAAAACCCTCCTTTGTTTTCATGCTTTGCTTTTTATTACTTGATTTCTTTATCTTTTTGATTGACACAAGCAAGTGTGCTTTGTAGGAAAACAAACAAAAGTTCACATATTGGAAGTTGAAATGTGTTCAGGAAAAAGTATATAATTCTGGTGTCTAAGGAGGAAATGCCGTGCTATCATTCCTGTAGCAAATTCCATTGTGTTATTCTGGACTTTGGCTTGAAATTGACCACAAGCCTATAGGGAAGTAGTAGTAGAATCAGCTTTGTATAGATCATTTTATTTTAAAATGTTTTAAAAACATCAAGACAATTTCATCATTAAGGAAGTCCGTCTTTCCCCCTACCCACAAAAAACACCCTTCATTGGACAAAAATGTGTCCAGTGTATTTATTTTCTGTGGAGAAATGCTGTGTCTAAATTAAGCAATGCCTTCAGCATCTAGATATTTCTAAGCTTCTTCAAGAGATGCACATGAACATTTTTAATCCATGATTGTGTTCTCATATTTTCATTTTCAAGGAAGCATTATTGATAAGGCCTCTAATCTTATAGAATCACAAATCTGCAAAGAGCAGGGAAGAAAAATGTAACTTGGCTAGGAAGATTTCCTATTAATATATAACAAATTGGATCTCTTGACTATCCTACTTTTCTCTAAGGGTCATAAAAAAAGCCAGAAGGCATAAGTTCAAATTCTAGATTTTAGAACCTATTACTATAGTTAGATCCAGAATCATGCAATTTTACTGATACAGTTGTCACGTAAGACAAAGCTATTTCCTTTTCTAATCACCATGCTGAGTTGGGCAATTACATTAGTCTCCTATATTATTTTTGTGAAATCTTTCTGCAAACCAGTTGTGTTAGAAGAAATTGTTCTGACTTGGTAAGGTGGTGTTTTTTTTTTTTTGAAAACTAGTTATTAAAAAGGAAGAAAGTTTTCTTTGAGAGGGTAGCCATTTTTATGCTCTTAATACCTTCCCCTATATATTTTTTCTGCTCTTTATATCAATATGTAACTTAACCCGAGACACCAACAATGTTGCCAAAATAGTTCTGTTAGTTCTGATTGGAAGGTGTGCATTTGGATATATCTTGCTTTCAAATTTTTATTAACTCGATGTCGAAAAATCAATTTTTTCCTTTCTTTACACTGCTGTAGTAGGTAAAGGAGCTATAGGTTGATAACTAGGCTATGAACTGCAGTCTTTGTATCTGTATATGCCAATAGATTAGTCCATTTACCATGCTAAACTTTAAATTATCTCCACCATGTTTAAGCCTTCAGCCTTATACTGTTAAGAATTCTTCAAAAAGCGATTGGAGATGGCAACAAACTTGCCTTTTGAGATCCAACTTTGCCCTGCTGCTATATTGAGATATATCTCATTCCCATTTTTCACCTTATTGGTGTGTTGGTCTAAATAATAATTATATATTACAAAGCCCCGAGCTGTAGGTGTCAAAAGTAACTATGGAATGTGATATAGTCCTCTTGTGGGTGCTTTTCTCTTTACTTTCTTCCTTCTCTATCCCCTTCTCCACTCCTCTTTTGGTTCAGTGGAAAAGGTGAAGAAAAGACTTGCCGCTTGCTTGGACTCATAATGATGTTTTATGTGATTGCGCTTTTAGCTGTCTCCTTCTCCCTCCCCTACTCTCCTCCCATGGATATAAGACTTTTCTGAAGTGTGGGATTAACTTTCTTGATAAGTAGGTTTAAAAAATGCACAATGTGGTACTGTTTCATAGTTCTTAGATGGTTGTATAAAAAGAGTTAATGTGGTTTGTGCTTTAAAAGGAATAAGTGATTGATTTATTAATCTGTCTTTTTCATTATTACAAGCTTTGTTTTCCAATGACTACTTGCCTGCTTGGTTTTGTATATGTGTCTTTAATGGTTGATTTTATTCTTACACTTTGATGTTGATCACATCAGGCACACAGATCGCACCTGTGCAAGCTTATGTAACTGGCTAGACATCCACAAGACTACTTTTACACATTTATTACTTACAGATTAAATTTCTATTCTGCCTTTAGGACAGAATTGGACATAATTGTGATTAGGATACATTTCATCAATGCGGACCATGTTTCTTTTCTTTTTAAACAAAAAAAGCTGATGAGATTGAACTTTAGACAGCAAATATTGTTTTTCACTAGCTGAGTAATATAATTGATGCTCCCCAGTAGGTCATCTGGGTAATTCTCATATCATTTGAACCTCAGCTATTGCAGAAAAAAATCCCATATTAGTGTTGTCCAAGTGTATCATCCATGAAATTCAGCTTTCCCAAAGGATAGCAGCCATGTTATTTTTTTGCAGCAAAAACAAGAAAAAAAAATCCTGGGTTACCTTAAAGATATATGGTGCTATGTTTGTATTTTCACACACTCCAAAGAACCTTTTTTGAATCAATTCCAAAGTGCTTTACAGACCTAATGTATAACATAGATCTAAAACAGTCTTTCCAAAAGCTAGGGAAGAAATGTAGTTTTCAGATACAATAGCATTTATGAAAAGCATTTAGCACTGTTTGGACAATGACGGCAAGTCAGGAAGTGGAAGATTAGTTAAATCCATTGGTTTCTATGCTAGGATATAATGCTTGTTTTCCAAATTAAGGGAATTAGGCTTCCTCACTTTTTAATTGTTAATATACTGACGCATATAGACCAAAGGTAAATAGTATCAAGCATTAAGAACAAAACACATGCATCTATACAGTGTTAAATATGTAAAATTTTATGATTAGCATAAAGGGACAGATCAGCAACATATTCACACTAGAGAGTGCATATGGCATATCTAATTCATATAGATCATTCTCATGCATTTCTGTAGTTATAATTGAGTTCATTATATTTTTAATCAATCCATCAGGTGGAGTGGGCAGTGAGTACGGTTCACCTCCAAATAGAACAATATGGCCATTTTGTTTCAAAATCTCAATTGAAATAACAATAATCAAGGTGTGATGGCTCAGGATTGTCTCCTATAAAAAGATAAAGGTTTCCCCTGTTCATTCGTGCCCAACTTTAGGGAGAAGTGCAACAATGGGAGCTCACCCCGTCATGCAGTTCTTGAGTCTTGAACTGCCAACCTTCAAGTCAACAAGCCCAGCATCTTAACTGCGCTCCACTTGTATCTTATACTGTCACTGTAATATTGATTAATATCTTTTTTGTTGCCCCATTGGTGTAGTGTTTCTGGCACCATCAACTGAGATTGGAGCAGCAGAGTAAAACATGTTTTGATCAATCTAATGCATAGAGGAGAAATGTAGTCACTTGTTCATTTTAAAGTATAAAACACTATATCATTTAGCATTTGGACACTGTACACAATGAAATACACACATAGCTGTACATGTAAGACTGGACAGCCTTTTTACCTTAAAATTTGCATTCCTTGGAGGTAATCTAGTTTCATGCCAACTATAAAAGGGTCCAGAAACTAAATTGGCCTCAGCCATCGACTTTGTCGTTTTAACCATTATCTTTGCATCTCCCTCTTTAAAAACATTTGTTCATCTGTTAAATAATCTCTTTGGCCAGAATTTAAATTGTTTAAACTGATTATTTGTACAGATAGTCCTCGATTTACAACCATTCATTCAGTGACATTTGAAGTTATAATGGCACTGAAAAAAGTATTTTACAACTAGTCCTCACACTTATGAACATTACAGTATCTCCATGGTATCACATGATCAAAATTTGGCAACAGGTATATATTTGTTATAGTGGTAGTGTCCTGGGGTAATATGCTTACTATTTTCAACCTTTTCAGCCAGCTTCCAACAGCAGAGTCAGTGGGGGAACCCAGATTTGTTTAATGACTGCATGATTCAGTTAACATATAGCAAGTTTGTTTAACTACCATGGCACCAGTTGTAAAATCAGATTTGACTCATTTAACAACTGCTTTGCTTAGCAATGGAAATTCTGGTTCCAGTGGTGGTTGTAAGTCAAAGACTACCTATATTGGGGGGGGGGGTGTTCCCTAAAGGCAGAAATTTCAAGAACTTGAAAGGATACAGACTGTGGTGAAACTTCTTTTCCTTCAGTAAACCTGATAGTTGCAAAAATTCATATTAAAAACTTTGCAGTCAGAAATGAATATTTTATCTTATAAATAGGTACACACCGGATGACAAAGTATGCATTTCTTCTGCAATCTTTATATATTAGAAATTCAAAACAATATTATAAATTCTATTCTGTCACAAATGTCCAACATTATAAGTATGTGGACAAAACTCTGCAATTGATGCTATTTCATCCCCACTTAGAGTTGATAATATTTGGAAATGGGGATATACTGGGAATTGAAGCATTTTTTTTTAGAATTAATGAATGGGAGAAAAGAGCTCACATTTAGCACAATTTAACAGGTTATCAGGCAGGCCTGTTTTTAGAAAGCAAAACTGATTTAAAGCATTTATTGTAGCATTCCCTACACACTAAAGTCAACAGTCATGGAAGGGTCAGGAGTGGATTAAAACAATTTCATAATCCTAGTGATTTTCTTTTTTATCAGGATTATGAAACCAATCATGAATATCAAAAGCCACAGCTTAAACCAGCCTCTTGGGACATATGCCTTGTAGTGATGAGTGCAGGAGACAAAGCCACCAGTAGGGCAAGAATGAAAAGCTACTCTCCATTTTATTTTTTTTATTCAAAAGAAGAATCTTCTTTTGAATTCATAACAGTTTGAGGGTTGCTGTATTTAATTGAGGTAGCTGATGATATCCAGGTAAGACATTTCTTTAAATTATTACATTATTCTGCTTACAACAAAGCTAAGGCAAGGAATGAATGTTGCTTGCAGAATTGTTTTGCATTTTGTATTTAGGAAATCCCCTAAAACCATTCCATGAAGAGTGATCTCTTAAGAGTACACAAATATAATTTATTTTCCATTTTTTCCTCAGTTACATGCCTGATATTGCTCTCAAAATAAATAATTCTTAACAGGTTTTCTTTGCTAAGAGAAACCAAAAAAAATGTTATAAATGCCTGCTCCTTTATTTGTTTTAGAAAAATGCAGTTACTTAAGGTTTTGTATTATATAAACAAGCCTTAGTTGTTACAACATTTTTTATTTGAAACAAAGTCTCAGAGTTGTGTGTATTGTTGTCATTTAGTTTCTTCCTATTTTTTCAGGTCCCAATATGGAAATAATTTCATCAGAATTTTCTGTTAGTCACTCTTTCTGAAATTTTCTAAGTTTATGCTTATGTCATCAAATGTAGAGTCTAGAAACCTTTTCTTCTGTCAGACACTTTCAATTGCCCTCTATTTTCCCCAGATCAAGATCTTCTCTTGTATTTGCATTGCAGATGTCAGAGCTTTAGCTTCATTTAGAAGTGCATCTTTGGAGAAATCTGTTTTAATACCGTATCACTAGTACTGAATGATTTGTCCTTGCAGCACATGGTATTTGTCAACAATTTTTGTTTTAAGTACCATTTTTTCATCATTCTCTTTTTTTTTTATAGAAAATTGTATTAAAGATTAAAAAAGATTAAAACTACTACAAACTGAAAAAACCTAAATAGAAAATGCAAAAAAGTAAAAGAAACTAGAAAATAAGAATATGGTTATATATACTGTATATCACACAAGTGTGAACAGTTTGGTAACTTATCACCTTCTCTTAAAATATAAAAAAATGACCTCTTCTTCCCCATCTCATATTTTATCTATAAACTATAAAGCCCCATTATTTAATCCTAGTCTGCAAAAGTCCAATAAGGCTTGGCAAAGATAACACCTCAATTTTAACCTTGATTAAATAAACCAAATTTACTGTATATTCCTTCCTTTACCTTTTAACAATCTTAATTTTTAATCCTGTAACAGAAGAGCAGGCAGAGTTGGGGGCCAGAGTAAAATGCTTCATCAGTTTAGAGTTCTTGTGTTGCCAAAACAGATCCAAGTCCAGTCCCCCTTTGAATTCCATTGACCCTTTTCTAGCGCAATTTAGTGATGACCATTAGTTGGCCAGATATTTGTGTATAGGCTTCAATAAATTGCTTATGCTATGATCTACATGGATGGTCCTGATTCCTTATGCTGACAAATCCCTTCCAATAATTCCCTAGAAGTTGATTTACTTTCATTTTTTTTGTTCCTTCTCACAAAATTTTTCAAAACTTTAATAAGGTTTTTTAACAAATATTGTAAATCCAGGTTATTTAGTATATGGCTTTTGTTGCCATGTATTTTGAAAGCCAAGCCTATAGAGTAATCTGGCTGCCAGCAGTTGCTGGTTTGTTCAGTTCTGGATGTCCCTGTATCCAGGGTGCACTAAGAGGAGGTGAACTATCTTCATACCCCTGTAAATCCAGTATGGCAAAGTTATTCAGGTCACTCTCTTGGTTTGTTATTTGTATATCCCTTATTATGAAAACAACAGCCAGTTTCATTTGCATATCCTGTGCAGCATTTTTTCCATATCATTCTTGTTGGCTATTATTTTTAAATCCACATTAAAATCAGTCTCTGTCTTGACTGGTAAAACTTGCTCTTCTTCCGTATAATTTTTAAAACACAATCTACCTACATTGGCAGAGATTCTTAAAATTGACTGCTAAGTGCATTGTTTACAAGTATCTTCCAACATGAAAATGTTTTGCTCCATTCTGTATTAGTAAGTCAAATATAAGTGTACTTCTTTAAATGTAATATTTAGTTTCTTTTGGTTCCTGTTACTATCCAACCTTCAAAGTCCCATTCTATTACCTTTTCAGGAAACCAAAACAACCAAAATCTTTTCCAAAATCAAAGCTCTTATCATTATTTGCTGTTTATTCTAAATATGAATTTTTTTTAGTCTTTAAATTTGTCTTTAAATCTTCTTTCACTAAGGATGAAAAGGAACTCATCTGATATTTTAAGAAACTTATCTTTCTGAAGATTCCCAATATCTGAAAATCAATTAAGAAGCAATTTCTAAAAGTGATTATCAAAGGAAATATAAAAACTTTGTGTCCGTAAAGGTTCCAACAATGGTTTGGGCAGAAACAGGTTCTTTCATTTCCCAGAGCTTTAAACACACTGAAAACCACTGTCTTGCAGTCTCCTCTTAAGGAACAGCTATCAACAGCTGTCTGAAGCACTTATGGGCAATCCCAAGTTCTCTTTTAGTTCTGAAAGGTATTTCAAAGTGCCAATCTATTTGGCAGCTCTTAATTCTGTCACCAACTTTAGTTCACATTTTCTACTCTTTAAGCCCATTCAGCTTTGTCTTATGTTACAAGTGGGAAAACTATAGCCTTGCCAGTACAAGTAGTCCTTGGCCAACAACTGTAATGGAGCCTGCCCATTATGGTCATAAGTGTGATAGCTGTTAAACGAAGCTTCCACATGATCACCTTGCTTAATCGTACATTCCTCTTCTCCTCAATGCTGTCATTAAACAGGGCCTATGGTGCATTAAAGTGGGATAGGCTGTAGGGTGTCTAGTGCAACCCTTGCCTCTGACCTTCCAAGGATTCTCTCACCCTGAAAGACTATATGCTTCAGTTCCCTCCCCTCGGGATTCCTACAAGGGTCTTGTGGGTACCCTGAGGTGCCACATCCTCTTCTCCGTCCCTGTCACGAAACTCTCACTTGGAAGCTCCAGAACCCATGTTGGAAAAGGAGATTAAGCTGCTCCATCACTTGCCTGCATTGCTTCCTTCTGCAAGTAAGTGTCATTCCCCAAGGTGAGAAATAAAGACAGTGCACTGTGGGGAGAAGCCACCACCATGCCTCCTCCCCCAACAGATCCAAATCACTTCAACCAAGACTTCAAGAAAGTGGCCATATCTTTGAAACCAGGTCGTAAGTAGCTTTTGGGGGGTATCTGTCATACGTTTGGTCACTAAGCTACTAGTTGTAAGTCAAGGACCATTTTATGTATCTTTGTTGCTGTGATATCTCTGCACTTTATACTTAACAGAATAACAGAAGAGCAGAGTTGAAAGGGTGTTGGAGGTCTTCTAGTGCAACTCTATGTTCAAGCAGGGAACCTTTTACCATTTCAGATAAATGGTTGTCCAGTGTTGGAGCATCCACAACCTCTGGAGGCAAGTCATTCCACTGATTGTTCTGTCAGGAAATTTCTCCTTAGTTCTAGGTTGTGTTCTCCTTGATTAGTTTCCCTCCATTGCTTCCTGTCCTGCCTGTGTTGGAGAATAGCTTGACTCCCTCTTCTTTGTGGCAGCTCCTCAAATATTGGAACACTGCTATCATGCCACATCTAGATCATCTGTTCATTAAACTAGACACATCCAATTCCTGCAACCATTCTTCGTATGCTTTAGCCTCCAGTCACCTAATCATATTTGTTGCTCTTCTCTACACTTTTTTTTAGTCTCAACTTTTTTATTTAGTGGTGACCAAAACTGGATGTGGCCTTACCAAGGCATTATAAAATGGTATTAACACTTCACGTGATCTTGATTCTATCCCTCTGTTAATGCAGCCTAGGACTGTGTTGACTTTTTTGGCAGTTGCAGCACAGTCATATTTAAGGGATTGTCCAGTAGGACTCCAAGGTCCCTCTCACAGTTACTATTATTGAGCCAGGTATCACCTATACTGTACTTGTGCATTTGGTTTTTCTTGCCTAAATGTAGAACCTTATTTTTTTTTCACCACTGAGTTTCATTTTGTTAGATAGTGCCCAATGTTCAAGTTTGTCAAGATCCTTCTATATCTTGAGCCTATCTTCTGGAATGTTGGCTATTCCTGCCAGCTTGGTGTCATCTGCAAATTTGATGAGTTCCTCTTCTATCCTCTCATCTAAATCATTGATAAAGATATTGAAGAGCACCGGGCCTAAGACAGAGCCTTGGGGTACTCCAGTGCAAACTTCCTTCCATGTAGATATTTGTCTAGACCTGCCATAGCTATGTTCACAAATAATAGACATTCATTCATTTTCTGACCAGAATCGTCATCTCTGTGAACCTTTGAGCCTCAACAAATAAATGTTTTACCACTTCAACTACTACTCCCATTTATACTGGGTTGGCATTGCCTATTGACATTGCCTTAGAGATTTATTTATGTTGATGAACAGACTGGCTTTTGTCTCTATTCTTTTACCTTCCAGAAGAGGTTCTTCTCTTCGGCATATCTGGATTTCTCTCAGCAATTTTTATTTCAATTTCTTCTACTTCTCATATACCGTACTATGTCTCAAGATATATATCGCATATTAATTAAACAAATGTATTAGGTGACATATATATTAGATTCACTTTCTTCCCTGCAAAACTGCCTCTATGTCTTGTTGTTTTTCTAAATCTTTGAATTTTGAAAAATTTAAAATTCTACCCAGGTTTTTGTAAAAAAGAGTAATAAGGAAGCTAAATTAAAGGACATTCCTGAATAGCACTCAGAAATGGCCTAACTTCCTCTCACCCTCCTCCTGTCTGCTGCCTCAAAATGCTCTTCAGTAGACTTAAGGAAAAAGATCTGGCCTTGAAGTGTAGAGTTACAGATTGTAAATGTGTTAAGAACATTCTTTGGCCCGTCAAGGGGAATAATATTTGAATGAAATTCCCTGGGCCACATTGGGCACCTTTCTCCACGCCGCCCGGCCCTCCTCCCGCTGGACGGCTCCACTGAGCCGTCGCCATGGCAACTCAAGAGCCCTGCTAAGCAGGCAAGGCTTTGGGAGCAGCCCGTTCTTGCGGTTAGCGGGAATGATTGTTGGTTGGATTCCCTGGTATGCAGCTTCCAGCAGCCAAAAAAGCCCGTCCTGGCTCCCAAGGCGAAGGCTTTTCTCGTACACAGCTGGCTGGCTGGAAGAAGCAGAGGGGGGGTGGAGGAGGAGGAGGAGGGGGAGAGAGTGGGAGGAGAGGTCATAGCGCTGCTGAGAAGAGTTACTCCAACTCCAGCCGAGGCCCACACTCCTTCGCCTGTCTTCGCATCTCGCTTGCCTTGAGGGAGGTGAGGCGCCGAAAGCCCCCGCCGGAAGCGGCCTTTCTGCTCCTCCAGACGGGCTGAGGCCTAAGGGGGCTCTCCTGGTTCACTTCAGCTGAACTTTAGCAGAGCCGTAGATATACCCCCCCACCAACCCCCCAAATAACCGAGGAGGAGTTGGAGCCTTAAGCTGCTCTGCTCTCTCGCTTGTTCTCGGCTCCAAATGCCGCTCTGAGGCCTCTTGCCAGGGTCGTAATAAGCACTTTCTCCCACCCTAATGAACAGCCTGAGCTTGGGCCGTCAGAAAGGAGGAGAAAATATCGGCAATATTCATTTGAAAAGATGATCCCCACCACGGAAAGCCGGAAAGAACAAGCTTTTTTTTTTTCTTTTCGTTTTTTTGAAGAGTTAATTTAGTGCCTCCTTTCTTCGGTAGCCGGTTCTCTGAGAAATGGGCTGCCATTCTCACAAATCCTTATGGCTTGGATGGACTTAGGAGAAACGTCTTCTCAAGAAGGTGAGTTTTAGGAACAGGTACTGATGTCCTCCCTTCTCCTTCCCTTCCCAAGAAGGAACTTCCCAAAGCTGGGTGAGTATCCCTGTTGGTCTCCTTAGGAGATGGTAACGTTGTTACTCTTCCGCGGAAACTTTTTATCTGCTGCTCTCTTTTTTTGCTAAGTGCATGGAAAAAGTTTTCCCTTAGTTTACAATCTGGGCAAGGATTGGAAGGAGAATGCCCCGTAGGTTTTATAAATTTGAGGATTTGAGTTCAGTGGGGTCCCTAATCAAAAGGTGTTGAGTGTTAAAGCAAGAATTTTGCAGTCCTCTATAGATGAGGAAGTCTTTCTAGTGTTAGGGAGTTAACATCTTGCTTACTTTGGGTGTAGGCAAATTTTCTCTATAACATCTCTGGCCCCAGAGACAAGAGTTGCTGAAATTATCACTGGACCATGTCCAATATTTACAAGAGTTTGGCCCTTAATTCTAATCATGAGATAGAATGGTCCTCTGTTTTGCATTGCTCCTCAGCTTCAATTCCACACTTTTAACAACTTGCTCCTAAAATGTGCTTGACAGCACACTTCGTTTAACTTTTTTTCCAGTAACATCCCTTGTTAAGCTGGTAAAATATGTTTCATTCCAAGAAATCTCAAATGTCTGACTTCCAAGCCACTCTACCTTTGAAGGAATCTATTTTTAATTACCTTATAGTAACCTCATAATATAGTGGCCCAGGGCATTGTGTCCAATGGCCAGAAGCAAGCTTTTGTGATGTAATAACTTCAGATACACACTTGTTTCAATAAGTATATATACTTAGAACCATGCCTGCCTGCTGGGTTGTGGAGTGTAGGAACTGAATAAGGGAAAAGTTTAGGGCCCTGAAAAATAACAGGGCTCTCTTGGTCTTCCAAATGATTAGCAGAACCAGAGCAGACTAAGTAAAATCTTAGTATACAAAATAAACGTACAAAATTGGAAAATTTTAATTTGTATAAGCTGTATAGGTTATACAGTTCAGATTTTCTTGGCAAAAATATAGTGTAATGTTAATGTAGTTATTTAAATATTTTAGCATGTAATAGAAGCTTTGTTGTCAGCAGTAATGAGAAAGGGCTTTAGTGCACCAGAATTTTTTCCCTGTAAGGAAATTAGAATACAGTCTGCATAAATAATGGAATGTGTGAATTTGCTGGAGGTCAGATTATATTGTACAGAATTTTGCATACTTTATGGAGTACTAGTATTTTTAGTATATAGCTCTGTACAAAGGTCCTTCCCCAGACAGAAGGTGTCAGCCCATTCTAGAAGATATTAACTTTGGAAAATGTTCCCGAGCTAAGCAAGCGGATTTGCTCAAACAATTTTTGTTTTCCCCCAGAAGGTTTGTTACCAGCTGAACACGAGACCATGGAGGAAAATTTCTCTACTGAAAAAAGTATAGGCAGCATAAAGCAGTGTGCTAAAAATACTTCTAGACCCAAACAGCCTGACAAGTGCTCTGAACATGTAAATAATTTTTCTCTTAGTGGACCAACTTGGATTCCAGTGGGACAGAAAGGGTCTGTAAGTAAGTCCACCTCTGTTTTGCAGTCCAAGGTTAAAGCTCTTAAAGAGAAAAGGAACCTCATAAACAAGCGTACTGAAGCAACATCCCAGGAAGAGGCTTCTCTAAGGAAGCTTAAAGAATGGAAGGGAAAACCACCAAGAGACCCTGTTCTTCAGAATGCAGTAGTGGAGCCACAAGCTCAAATCCGCACTTACTTGACAGATGTGCTGCTGGATAGCACTGAGTATCCACATCAGATGCAGAAGGAATTTCAGGAAACAAGCCTTCCAGATCCATACATCAATGATTTTGAAACACAATCTATGGTAACAGGAGAGTCCACAGGCATAAGCCCACCAAAGGAATTCAGGAGGCTCCCAGGAAGAAACATACCAGATAAAAATAATTCTTTAGGAAGCTCCACGAAAAAGGTACCCTTAAGTGCCATCTCTGGAACTGGCTCTTTAAAGGACCTTTCCTTTATCCCAACATCTTTTGAAGAAACAAATGGTAGAGAAGACCATCTAATTTGGCCTAAGGAGTTTGACAGCAATTCTATGAAAAAGAATGACACCTCTGAGATGGCATCAATTGGGAGGATTTGGAGAACGGAGAGCTGGGACAGTCTTGGCAGTAGCAGCAGCAATGTCAGTACTTTGTCTTTAGCAGAGAGAGTGGAAAGAAACCGAACTAAGTTGCAAGAGATGCTGAGCATATCACAGTTGAACAGAAGTTATTCGCATGAACCGCATACTTTGGATACTTACCAGAAAGAAATCCAACATCTTGGGCCTAATAATGGTAAGTTGATGTGATGAAAACTGGGTCATCAAAATTGAAATATCTTTGCAATTTGGATAGGTGATAAAATGTCTCAGAAACTATTACATCAGAGAATCTGTAACACAACCAGATTTCTGTAGCTCCTTCTCCATTTATTTTGCATAGTTCATCTTTTAGGTTATCCCACCATTGGGCTTTGATCTAAACTTGTATTTTTTTAACCTCTTTCTCTGGATCTCCAAGAGAAGTAAAATCTGATGATAAATCCAAAATCCATTTTACTTTGGATTTGATCTTTTCTTGTGTGTTTTATATTCAATCCTTACATCTATTAATAATGGTCATTGATTTTCTTGTGTGATTGTAACAAAGAAGAAAATGTGAAACTAATTACATTTTAATTGTGGTTCTGATCAATCCCTCCATTTAAAAAAGAGACCAAAAATGAAAAATGATTGGTTTTAAAATCAATAGGTAGGGAAAGGAAAGAGCAACATATACACATTATGAACTTGTATACTGATATTTCCCTGTGAGTTTTTCTCATGTTATTTAGGGAATACTTGGAAATGTTGACAATAGTATATTTCTATTCTTTCTAATGGACATGGTGTCATATGTATATATAAGTATGCAAGAGAGTTTTTAACATCCTTCAAATAGGATGATGAGATAAGGAAGTATAACTGTGAAGTTAGTTGAAATAATTTGAGTAAAACTTTTACATCTGATATTGAAAACAGGTGAATAAAAGTGTAAAGTACTATTTAAATTTTGATTTATTGGCTTGACAACTAACATATAATCTATTTAATTTGATACTTGCATGACACTTTATACCATTTAACACTGTGTACTTTTCAAAAATTATTCAAAATAATTGTTTCTGCCCATGTCCAAGCATGAGAACAGCATCTCCTATTCATTCAAACAGCCCAATATTTTCCAGGATGCAAGACTTAAAGAAGGCATACAGTAGCCTAAAAAAATAAATGATCTGCTTTAAATATTACAGTGAAAATTCTGAAAGATCTGAAGCATTTCTGAATAATTTTTGAAGTATCAACAGCTCCAATAACAATTTCCATGGGCATATTTGTAGTCTAAAGCTAAGCGGCGTGGTAGCCTAGAGGTGAAGAGTCTTAGAAGATTGAGAGTCATAATCGGCACAAATCAGGGCACAAAGAAAATATCTGCTGCAAACTCTGCGTAGGTGTCAGGAAGGGCATCCAGCCAGTTAATGCTCATCTCCATTCAGTTGCCCTGACTCCACCCTGAAGCAAGGGAGTACAGGATTGCAAAAAGAAAAAAAAAGGGTAAACGAAAGATATAGCTATTCTCATTTAATGGACAGATCATTTTCTGTACCTCATTTTATAATTCATTACATTAAAAGTTATCACTGTGCATTTGATGCAGTGAACTGTACAAGATAGCAGTAGCACTTAGATTTATATACCACTTCACAGTGCTTTACAGCCCTCTCTAAGCGGTTTACAGAGTCAGCATTTTGCTCCCATCAGTCTGGTCCTCAACCTTGGAAGGACAGAAGGCTGAGTCAACCTTGAGCTGGTGAGACCCAAACTGCCAAACTGCTGGCAGTGGGTGATCAGCAGAAGTAGCCTGCAGTACTGTATTCTAACCAATGCGCCACAGTGGCTCTTAGAGTATATGATTAAATGGGAGCAGAATTTAGGTATAGTAACTTATGTGCCACAATAGATATCATAGTGGAAAAAGAATACTAAATCCTCATACAATATTATACTAAGGTAAGAAGAACTGATACAAGATGTTTTACTGGTGGTAATGTTATTTCAGCATGGGTTGCTGAAATTGACATTTTGTTCTTTAAATATTTTTATAGTGGTAATGCTTGGGTTAGATAATTTTTCCCAATTTGATAGCAATATGGTAACGTTCAACAATCTTTGGAAAATTATTTATAATAGATTGACACACATTTTAAAAGCTGAATTTCAAACCTTCTGTTTTTCTATTGCATATTACTAAATCTGACATTCCCACAAAGTATACTGAATTAGCTCTGTATATGGTAAGTGCTATAAGAGTACTCTTATTACTGGAAAATATGCTAAATTCCTTCTGCAGAAGAATGACTAATTAAGCTGTGGGAGTATCCTTCAATATTTAAAATAATTTGTATTTCTGAAGTAAATCTGCTATAGACTTTAACTAAAATTGAACATATGTTTGGGTTATAATGTTATATATCAGTTTGAACCACATGAAATTTAAGTTTGTCTTTATCCTAAAATCTTTTTTTCAGAAAAAAAATGACTCTTGCATTTTGCATTTGTATTATATTGATTATACTATTGGTATTCTTATAGTACCTCATTTTAACAACTTTAATTAATGAAATATGGACATGGATAACCTAATCCTAGGAAGCATAGACATTCCCTGTTTGTCTACTTTGGACATTTTTCTCCCCCACTCCTTTCTCATCTTTAAAAATCTTAATGTAAATAAGTAAATGGTTTAAAACTTTAAATAATTATTGCTGGTGGCAAATACCTCCTTTGTAGGGAAATTATTGAGTGTGGATGACCAAAAAGTTCACTAGGTCCATATTTACATGAAAAAATGGATAAAATCAGCATTGAAGAATACTGAAAGGGTATTATTTTAATGTATTTCTGTTTCTTGGGACTAAAATGAACAAAATTACTTAAATACTTCTTTTATCACATGTTACAGAGATTATGCCAAATGATGGAGCCTGGGATTGTAATGTCTCCTTACAGGATTCTGAAGGCTATCGGTAAGATTACAGAGCTACTAAACTAAGGTTGTTTGTTTGATTATATGCCATCAAGTCATTTTTGACTCCTACTGACCATGTAGATTTTTTTCTATGAAGATCTGTATCTAACATGGTCTTTCAGGTCTTCCAATAAGCAGGAGTGCCAAAATGGCAGCCTGCGGACTGGATGCATCATGTGCAGGCCACACACACCCCAGCTCTGCAAAGGGAAAAAAGTCACAAAACGTCACATGATGACAACATGACCCTGCAAGTTTGACATCTCTGCAATAGTGCATCTATTGCCTTTGTAATTAAGTCTCCTTCCTACTGCTGATTACCCTTTTTGTTTTGTTTCTTCCACCTTCCCCAGCATTAGATCCTTTTCCAGTCTTTACATAATATAGCCAGAATAGGATAATTTGATCCTGGACATTTATGTCTTGAGTGAGAAATCTGGCTTGATGTGTTCAATGATCAATTTATTTGGCCTTTTGTTTTGTTTTTGGCTGTCCACAATATTCTCAGGAGCCTTTTCCAATACATCGTTCAAAAGCATCAATGTTCTTTCTGTCCTGCTTCTTCAAAGTCCAACTTCCAACTAAGCTAGGATGTTATGGGGTTTTCAGTCCTCTGTTAAGGGGAAAAAAGAGTTCTTCTAAATGACAGTGGCCATTACTACAACATATGTTAAAACTCATGAGTGAAGGCAAATATATGTATCCCAGGATAATATTGCAGGATCCAATCCAATCCTTGGGGAACTTCAATCTCACCAGGATGTGTGGTCACCAGGAGTCTGAAAGCTCGGAAGACTAAACCTCTGGTCCAGGTGACTGACCCAGATTGAATCCTGCAATATCTTAAAACTCTTTCAGTTTGGCATTTGCTCTAAATATACATTTATCAAAATACATGTAGGAAAAAAATGTCTAACTTCTTTCAGGCCATTAGGTATTATCAGTATGTTGATGATACCCAGTTTACATCTCAACTCAATGTTGATGATACCCAGTTTACATCTCAACTAGGGTTTAAATGGGGATGAATTGGCTTAAATTCAATTCAAAGAAGATCAAGTGATATGGTTTTGGAAGCTGCCCAGCTCCAAAGATTTCCCCAATTAATTTTGTATAGGCTGACTACCCCAGATAGTAGAGCTTGTGCACAATTTGGAAGTTTTCCTAAATTTCTGGATCAATTCAGACCAACTGGCAGTTGTAGCTAGGAGGACCTTTACACAGATCTATTTTGTGTTCCAGCTCTGCGGACCAAGTTTGAAAATGCATAAATGACCTCATTTGAGAGGCCCATTTTAGTCTTTAAATCACCTCTGATAATCATGTAAGTTTGCCGGTGCAGATCTTTTCAGTATGTAATATTGTATATCGCTCTAGGTCAGCATTTATTGCTGTGGAGAGCTGAGGCTAGAAGCAATGGTTTGCCAAATGCCACAATAGCTGGTTTATGGCCAAAGCAAAATTTCAATCAAGACTTCTTGAATTATTATGCTCCATCAACTCTAATGATAAATCATTTCGTAGGTCTAAAGGAAGCAATTTTTGTGTGTGAAGAGTCATGCATAGTTGTCTATTCGTAAACACAATGATGCAGGAATAACAAGATCTTTGTCGTGTTATTACAATGCTAGCTTCGCCCTTTTGCACTTGTGTTGTAACATTGCAAAATAGATTTAATCACTTGCCCCATTCCTGTAATGCTAATGGTAGTCACATTCTGTGATCACTAGTCACTGGTTGTATTCTATTTTGCATAGCATGCCATAGGCCCTATGCAAAAATTACCAGGGCAGAGCTGGGGTAGAAGGGAAAAACAGTAAGGCAAAGAGTAGAATTCGAAAATTATAATAAACATAAACATTAATTATTTTTGATGCTCCCAAATCATCCAGAAAAATGCATAAAATTCTTGGTACAGAGATCAGCATGTTTCCATATATTAATGTATGTTCAAGTATTACATATAATTGAAGCTGCAATATATATTCAAAATACAAATCAAACTTTATACTTGTCATCAAATAGGGCATTTGAAAAAAATGAAAATGTCCAACTTAAAAAGCAGAAAGATCAGCTCGAAAATATTTCTGAAATTTGATTTATATTAAGTTCATCCTAAATGTTTAATCGGGACTAGTTGGGTGTACTGGTTAAGGCAACAGGTTAGAAATTGAGAAACTGAGTTCTGTTCCTGCTTAAGTATGAAGTGAGCTGAACGACCTTAAGCCAGTCATTTTCTCTCAGCCCTAGGAAGCAGACAATGGCAAACCACTTCCGAAAAAAAGAAAACCAAGTAAACAGCAAGGATTAGATCAGGCAATTGTCAGGAGTCAATGCTGACTCAAAGGCATGTACAAGATGCTTAGTAGATATAAACTTTGAAAAGAATTTTATTGTGCCAAACCAAATAAAGAGAGCTAAGCAGAGCTAATAAAATAATATCTAAATATATTTTTAAAAGAAGGAGAGGGAAAAAGAGGCCTGGAGATTAATTTCATATAGAGAACAATTCCAAACATTTGATTAAATTGCTTGTTCCTCCTCTTATCTCTAAACCAAACACCTAACTCAAAGTTAATAGGGCATACATAGCAACAGTGCAGTGCTGCAGAGATTGGGTGCCTCTTTTGAGAGATGTTTGTTTGTTTCTTCTCTTTGTGACTCCCTACAAGGAAGTATCATATTTTTCAATGTGTAAGATGCACTCCCCTCCAAAAGTGGATGGAAATGTCTGTGTGGTCTTATACAGCTAATGTTGCCAAAGCCCCACCCACCTGCCGGCTCCCACCCTTCAGTCTCTGCCTCCCAGCAATTTGCCTCCTTGCTGCAAACAGCCTGGTCAGCTTCTGATCGTCGGTTGGATCGGCCTCCCGATGATCAGCTGTTTCAGGTTGCAGGGATTGCCATGGCCTAGTGCCGCCTCCGCGTGCCCCATTTTTGGCCTCAGCATCCCATTTTCAGCCTCTGTACATACCG